TAATTTACGAAGGCTAAATGAGTCGAAGTTATCCTGAAGTAATCACTGTTTCCCAAAAGGCCAAGTTTCTAATGCATAAGCCCGTAAGGGTGAAGGCCAAATAGACAGAAACACGGTACAAATGCCGTTTACGGAAATATCTCGACGATTGTATTTCTTCCAGTGTAAACGTTCTGCAAGGTTCAGTCTTCCTGGACGTGAGAGAGAAAGTCGAACAGCCGTTAACAGCTGCAGCCGACCGAAGCTCCAGCTTCCAAGGAGCTGATTGCAGTACTTTCTTTTTGGAATTTTATGTTTTTCGGGCTAACTAGCTACTCTTTTTAATTATATTTCACTTCATTTCCCTAAGCTCTTGTGAATTCGACGATTTTAATATTTTAATAATTTCTCCTAATTTTTAAATCGAAATGGGACTGCAGGAACCTCCTATACGGTTTTATATCGTAAAAATATAACATCCTAAACAATAACATCTATTTTGGCAACGTTATTACGTTTATTCGAATGTAAAAACGCGTTTTTCTCATACTTTCTTAGCCATCTCTTCCGAAATAGGCAATTTTAGAACAACTTGCGATTGTGCCATATATGCTAACTCTAGTTCTCTGCCAAGTTCGATCATAGCAAAGCTGAATGCTATATACTTAGCAATGTGTCTCTGTAGACTTCTGGCTAGTGCCTGATAATACTTTGCAAATCTACGACGCACTTTCCAATTTGGCTAGAGAAAGTTGCTCAAGTAACCTGGGCCTTCAAGAATTCGCTTTCTGGAGATAATCACTTTACAGACAGAATCCTTAAGTGCCTTAACACTCCTTATCGCACCAAAATTAATATTTATTTTCCCGCGTGCCTCCTTGTGACATTTAAAGCAATTATTTGAAACTACTAAGGAAACGATGACATTCCGACATCCAGCGACATGATTTGAAATTAATACTTAAAGTCGCTCGCGTAGGTTTTCATTGGGGTTCCGTTAATCGGAGTTCTGGAGATGAAGCATTTACAATGATTCACAGTTAGCGATTGTCTTGATAAAGGGGCTTACCGGCAAAGATAAGAGAGATTGGGGATGGGCGTTCTTGTCTTTTTGACCGTCGTTAACTAGCCTCAATCAACCCCAGGTTTAAGGGCACCTAAGGTTCAAACCCACATTGCCTTTGGTATAAAGGGTTTTTAGGCCCAACACTTTAACCACTGAGTCACAGGCTCATCTTATCGGTTGCGGTTGGGAATATTAACTATTCTAAAGTGTGTTTCGCCGGTTGCGACAGGGAGCCTGCTCCTCCCATTCTGCTTTTGGGGCTCAATCTAGCGCCCTGCAGGTAGTTCCACAGAGACTAGTAATAAAGGTGGACCGCGATCATTGACAAAGGCAAATTGCGGCGGCGGCTAATAAGCCACAGTCTCGCATGTCATTGTCGTTAACCTCCTTTTTACCTATATTACTCGTCGCTGTGCGACCACCTATAGGGCGTTAAATCGAGCCCAAAAGATCAACGGGACGAGTGGGTCCTCCATTGCGATCGGAGAACGCATTCTCAACATAGATTGCTTTTGTCGTCAAAGATCATAATAGCTTCTTGGTGTATTTATAACAAGAAATCTGGCATTTTACTTTTCAATGTGCCCAATTATGCCGTTTAGATGTTAGGTTTCGAGTTCTGAATATTCTGTATTTTTAAGTTTTAAAAAGTATGTCTTTTTCAGGCATGATAGATGAGGGGAATCAAATTAGAATTTTGTATATCAGTTGAAAACTGCATTTAACGGCATTTAAAAAAAATTCGGATATCTGCATGATCGCAAGTCCTGCAATTCTTAATATAAACCGTGGCACAAATGTAAGGGCATCCTAACTATTTATAAAAGCTAAAAATAAATGCAATAAAAATTTTATTGCATGAAGGTTCAGCAAATGTTGAAAATTTAAACAGTTCACATAAAAACTTCAGTAGACCTTGCTTGTATCAGTTTAAGTGTACCGGACCTTGCTTTCGGTCCAGCTAAGTTTGAATTTGGGGCATATCCTACACACGACTAACTTTAAACATTGAAGAATGTTGATACAAACGAAGATGCGAGTTTCAAGAACTAGTTGATCAGAAGAAGAGGAGATCGCTGGAACAAGGGTTTTATTCGCCCGACGTTTCGGATTCTCACTTGAACTCATCATCAGAGACAGTGGCAGAAAGGGCCGACTCATGCACAGGAAGTTGCAGCATTCATAGGATGCAGTCGCTATGCTACCGCATACCTATAGTAATTAACCGCGCTCCCCTTCATCAAGGATTGTTGCCCGCTGATTGCTTGATGGCCGGCATGCAAGTTGTTAATTGCTGAGATCTCATCACCCGTGTTGGATGCTGGCGTGCTGACTGTTCGGCCATTTGGCTCACCGGCTTGTGCACTCCCCGAGTGGTCAATTACTTTGGCCAGCCTATGCCTCAGCACGGAATATGCAGTCCGGATGTCGTTGCACTTGTTGGTAGACTGAGTTCCCGTGAACCATGACTCAAGCAACTCGTGGCTCACGCAGTTATCCTCTCTCGCGAGAATTTCGGCCTCGTCGAACTTGAATGTCTGGCCGGGTCCCGTCGAATGGGCCGCGACCAGAGAATTAGCGTCATTTATCCGTACTGCTGTCGCGTGTTCGGCAGTTCGCGTCCGGAGCAGTCTTCCAGATTCTCCGACGTAGTTGCTTTGTCCGCAACTTCACCAGATCCAATAAACGACTCCAGATGTTTTTTTTGCTGTTGCAGTGGGTCGTTTGGTCTAATCACATGACGCTTCATGGTGGCCTCCGGTCTGTGTGCAACTCCAACCCCAAGTGGCGCAAGAAGGCGACTAACGGCCTCGGAGACGTTCTTGATGTACGGGATCGCTCGCCAGAATTTGGGCTCCTCACGATTTTGTCGCTCGTCTCGTTTGCGCACGTATCGCTTGACGAAGTTGCGTGGGTGACCATTTTCTCTGAAAACCCGTCGAAGATGTTGGGATTCGGCAACCTTGTCTTCCGGTTCACTGCAGTGCGTCTCAAAAAGCCGATATAGCGTTCTTACGCAACTGCGTTTGTGGCTGATTGGGTGGCTACTGTTGAAGTTCGGTAGTTGCATCGTGTGCGTCACTTTTCTGAACACTTTGGTCTTTAGGCCACTACAATCTTTGCGACAGACGAGGACATCAAGGAATGCCAGCTGGTTACTTTCTTCCTCCTCCATCGTAAATTGAATGACCGGGAAGACGTTGTTGAGACGTTCTTTGAACGGTAGCACCTTATCCCGTTCGATGAAGACGAAGGTATCGTCCCCATACCGAGCCCAGAATTTCGGTCTGTGGTGTTGGAAAACCAGCGACCGTAACCGCTGTAGGACCGCCTCGGCGTTGAATTCCGAAATCGGCGAGCCCATTGGTGTTCCTTTCACTTGCTCGTAGATCGTTCCGTCAAACGTGAAGTACGTCCTGAGACAGAATTTTAGGAGCTGAAGGTCTTGGGCATGTCCGAGACGATTCTCCGTTTCATTGTATTTACTTCGTAGGATTTGCTCGACGGTCTCGATTGCCAGATCCTGGAGGATAAAAGTAAAGAGGGACGTGACATCAAAAGATACCATAACCTTATTTGGCAAGTGACTTACTCTTTTAAGCTTCTCTAGGAATTGTGTTGACGAACAGGTGGTGGTGTCCGAATCAGCGGTCAGAAATTTGAAGCGTCGAAATAGACATTTTGCCAGTCCGTACATTGGAATGCCTTTGAGCGATACAATGGGCCGGAGACGAGCGCCGTCCTTGTGCACCTTGGAGAGACCATTGAATCGGGCCAAGGCCGTTTCTTTGGCTCCCGCCATGCGTCGGTCGGTCGGTATTATTGCACCCGAGTTCTCCAGTGCCAGCAGTGTCGCATTAATTTCGCGTGTCAACGTTTTTACGCGGTTGGTTTCACATGGGGCATAAAAATGACGATTCTCCAGTAGGTTTTTGGCCTTCTGAAGGTAGTCTGTTTTGTTCAGTACGACGGTGGAACGCCCCTTGTTCGTGGGCACGATGACGATGTCCTTGTCGGCCTTGAGTTCTCTTAGTGCATCGCGTTCGACCTTTGGAAGTATTTCGCGCGGCTTACGAGTCATAAAGAGGGATGACACTTGGTGCCCGATAGGATTCTTCGTCTCGTCCGCGACTTCTGTTTGATTAATGACCGATAGGCATAGGCTGGCCAAAGTAATTGACCACTCGGGGAGTGCACAAGCCGGTGAGCCAAATGGCCGAACAGTCATCACGCCAGCATCCAACACGGGTGATGAGATCTCAGCAATTAACAACTTGCATGCCGGCCATCAAGCAATCAGCGGGCAACAATCCTTGATGAAGGGTAGCGCGGTTAATTACTATAGGTATGCGGTAGCATAGCGACTGTATCCAATAAATGCTGCAACTTCCTGTGCATGAGTCAGCCTTTTCTGCTACTGTCTGTGATGATGGGTTCAAGTGAGAATCCGAAACGTCAGGCGAAAAAGCCCTTGTTCCAGCGATCGCCTCTTCTTCTGATTGAAGAATGCGTTCATGCTGTTAAAACTACTATACATCGGGCCAGAGGTATAAAGCCGTTAGAGGTCATTTGAATGAAACATTTGACACCCCCCCTCCATCAAAATCGGCATCTTACGAGTTGGTACAAAAATTCGAACAAACTGGCAACACTGCCAATGCAGATAAACAGTACGAGTTATGGCTAGGTAAGATTTAATGGCAGCAACCAAAGCTAACAGCCCTTGGAAATCTCAGAGCTCTGTTGCTGCAGAGCTGGGCACATCCCGATCATTTTTACAACGCATCATTTCGGATATCGGCCTGCACCCTTATCATCCTCATTCACTCAACGCCCTTAACGAAGATGACGAGGCAGGCGTCATCAACTTTGCGAAAATTTTGTGGCTGCATGCGAAGGTTTTCCTGACTTTGTGAACCACGTTATTTGGTCAGACGAAGCCTGCTTTAAACTAAATGGGCTGGTGTACCGCCATAATTACGTCTACTCGTCAGATTCTAATCCACGCGAGATACTACAACAGGAGCTTGACTTGGTTGATGTCACTGTTTTGGGTGGAATTTGCAGAACAGGATTAACTGACCTTTTTTCTTCGATAATACACTGACGGTCAAATCATCCTAGAAATGCCAAGTGAAAAATTGTGGCCTATATTGTCTGAAGGTGCAGATTACGCTGATTTGTGCTCTCAGCAGGATGGATTTCGCTGAACATTTTCCTGGTAGATGGATCGGTCGTCGCGGTGTTATGGAAATGCCCACAAGGCCCCTAAACCTGAGTTTTTGGGGCTTCTGTCTCTGAGCAGTACTCGAAAAATCAGGTATTCAGCGATAAATCAGAGACTTCCAAGGAACTGAGACAAAACTTTATGAAAACCTGTGTAAATATTAGGCCGAGTTCATGAAAAAAGTAACTGACTCAACCATTGAACGACGTCGTAACTAGCTTGCAACTAATGGTTTGTATTTTGAAAATTTTGCTGTTGTTTTGTGTTATAGAATTTCGTTTCATTTATTTATAGCTTTTAATAATAATTAGGACTCGGTCGCGTATGGGCCACCCTATACAGTCATGCAATATATCTAGGATATTTAAGACACTATTATCCTGGAATACATTTGAGCAAAGCGGTGGAGAAACAAGCAAAAGCAAGTGGTATCATGTGCGTTGTGGGCTCTACTTCAAGGATGACCATCGCTTTAGTAAAAAAAACCATTGAGACGATGAGAAAAGGGGCTCTGTGCAATAATTTACCGTACTAACAACACAGGTATTAGCTAAAAGCCCAGACACGCGTGTTTCGCCGATCATATACCAGAAAACACACGGGGAAAGCTGGGGGACCCACTGACGAGCCGAACCCCTCGCAGCTGCGTCAGGCAGCGGCACAAGATCGGCGAAACACGCGTGTCTGGGCTTTTAGCTAATACCTGTGTTGTTAGTACGGTAAATTATTGCACAATGCTATACTACTGGCTGCCTGTTGGCGGTTTGTGAATATTAAGCGGTTATTCCGCAGTAGCTGATGGATTTCAGCTCAAATATTCATATCAAATTTCGGACCGTGCCTGAAAAGGCCTGTTTCGAAAGAGTTACTCCAAGTTCGCGCATTAATTTCCTCGGAAATTAAGCAAGGCAAAAAGGGCCTCTGTCACTAAAATGGAATTCGTGCATAAACGGCAGGAAACTTTAGTTAGACACTCTGGCAGACCTGTTGGGATAGAAGGCGTTGTTTAGAGAGGCTTTTGAGCGGGATTTTACTACACTGAACGGAACGCTGGTCAGTCGCAACGGGTGAGAAGGAAATACAATGGAGTTATTTCCGTCACGGGCGCTTACCATGGCAGCGCCAAGGGATCACGTGATCAATGACTCGCACTGTTAGTGCTTTCTCACCCCTACTGGCATTGCCTCTGAACAACGTAGGAGACGTTCAGTCACTGGCCGAACCCCGTGGATGAACCCCGTGGCTAATATTCGCCAGGTGGCCTTCGATTGCCCGTTTCTGTACCAGGTTTTCTGCGATCATCAGCCACTTTGACAAACGTCCAGCTGACGACGTTACCAAACGTCTTTCCGCGCGCCGAATTTGTTTGTCCACAGCACATGTGAATGTATAAGCAAGTTTCAGTGGCACAAATATGCATCTCTGAGTGGTTTAATTGAGATAGACGCTGTGGAAATAAGAGGCATCAAGTTCGAGGCAGTGGATGTACTTTCAACTGTGCAACGGAGTCTACATGGCCAGTTGGGCATAGCGTCGTCCTTGAAATGAAGGCAACTGCGCACGGAGTATCTCGCAAGTGTCCATGAGGAAAAAAAGTTCTGTGGTCCTCCAGTCCTGGTGAACGAATTTTGACAGCAGATTGGGAAAGCGCATAACTACTTTCCTTTATCTCCGAATTGGGAGGAAAAAGCCATCCGAACATGTGCTATAGCATGAGATCTCTGTTAGTTGTAAGTAATTTTCATACAAAATTTGCACCTGATAGTCCGTTCACAACTATCCTGCCAATTCGCCTACAAAACTGCCCACTGAAAGGAAATTCCACATTCTTGATAGCCAATCACGGCAGCTCTTGTGGCTCCAAGCATTTTGCAGACGCGCGAAAGCAAAGTAGATCAATGTTTCATTCCGTAGCCGTGGTTTAATAGGCTCCACACATCCTGTATTATCACATTTCTACTGAGTGAGGTTAGGTTTTCCGGACTGCTTACAAGGGAACAAGTATTTTTGATTACGTGGACAGGACGAGTGCGTCAGTTTGGTTTTATTCGAGCTGAGGTAAAACTTCATTGGCAGGCTTGGTCGTAATGACACTCCTGGTTTATGTGCAGTCCTCTTGGTGAGCTGTTAATTTTAAAATGTTTAATGACCCTTGTCGTTCTTTTTAGCTTCCTGGAAAATTAATTCACGGGGATGGAGACAGTCCTTCGAACCAAGTTTTTTCAGGCTCGGACCGAAAGTTGACATAAGCATTTGAGCTGAAATCAACCAGCTGCTGCGGAATAACCACGAAATATTCTCAGTCTGCCAGCAAGCGTCAGCTGTATACGAATACCGAAGAACTTGTCATACTGACAACACAGATACTAGCTAAAAGCCCAGAGACAGGTGTTTCATCGATCTTGTACTTCCGAATGACGCAACTGCGAAGTGTTGGGCTCAAAAGTTCGCACACTGCTGTCCGAGTAGATTAAAAAGTAGCACGTAAACTGGCGTTTATCCAGTATTTGCAATGACGTTTCACATTTACTACCCCGTTAAATTTGGAATATTTCTTCATTTAAAACACTATGTGCTCATATATCGTAATGTCCTCCATAGTGACACATTTAAAAGGAAGTTTGTGAGCCCTGAATGGGCACAAGGTACTCCTGAAATCTTTTCTGCACTCAAGCCAGATTAGTGTGCCCGATTTCTCCGTGTTTTAAGTATTTGCGTTGAAGACCATCAAAATGCGTCCGTTGCCCAATCATCAGCTTAATCCCCGGTTTTTGAATCCGAGCCCCCCACTACCTGCAACCGCCTATGGGGTAGTTTAGACCTCAACTTCTAGGCAAACCGAACTTGCGTGTTCCGTCCTGTAATCCGGCCGAATTACTAGACGCTGCTTCTTCGATTTGCTCTTCAAGCGGACGCATGACGCGAAATAAAAACAACGGTTTACGCGGAATTCTCAGTTTTCACAACGGCCATCCGGTAACTGAAAAGCGAAACTGTGTGGGGACACATTTCAAATGGATATAGACTCACTTTGGCAACCCGGAAGAAACACCGCGTGAGGCGCAATATCTCCACGACCACCTTTTTTCGGAACGGCTATCCGGAGGTCTTCATAGGCCGTTGCTATGCGTTCGCTCCCGGAAGATCCAATTGGAAAAGACACCTATGGCGGGTCAGATGCGACCGAGCGCATTGTTGCGAGACTGTGTCGGAATCGCACACTGGTCCAAAGTCACCATGCACGGCTGGTTCATGAAAATCAAAGACTGCTTTAATCCGAGGGAGCGGTCGGGCGTAGTGTATCGTAGTCTCTGCCCAAACTCTCGTTACAATTACACAGACCAGACGGAACGCGTGCGTGGATCGCACATACAAGAACATAAGCTGGCTGTGCGGCGGGATGATGAATTAGCACAAATGACTGTTCACACCTTCGGAAGAGATCACGAGTTTAACTTCGCAGCCACCAATATGATTGCCAAAGCCGAAAGTAAAACAAGTCAAAAATTGCTTGACGCCTGGGCGTCGGGTAGAAACTTAGTCGGCGCATCGATCTGACAGAGAATACACAGCTTCATGTGAACGATGTCAACACTGACTTATAAACTGGTAAAGTGCCATTTGGCAGGAAAAAATTTAAAGCAGACATCAATAAGAAAGACGACGGAGACCATTTTTGGTTTTTATTCGTTGAAAATTGATGCTTCAGCTGCTTCCATCAGCTTCAGTGGAATGTCTGTTTATCATTCCTACTTGGCCCAAATGCACTTAGACTCACGGCTCCCGGTGCGGCCTTGTAACTCAGATGACTGCACTGAAGCCTGCGCTTTGCTGTCATGGGTTCGAATCCTACC